CCCAGCTCTCCCTGCACCTGGGTTTTAAGATTAACCGTGTAGCCGTGACGGCTATTCAGATGCAGCTGAGCTCTTTGCCGTACGGGTTTGCTCACCACACTGCCCCAAGAGGTGGCTTCACTCACCCGAGTTACAGGGGGAATCTGAAGCCCAGAGAAAGCAGGCTCAGCCTGCTGGGGTGACCTCACTGCCAGTGACCTCAACCACACACTCGACCATGCGCGATGGGAAGGAATCGCCGCACCGGTATTCCCGTGCAGAAGCCGGCTTGTAGCCACCCGCTCTGGGCTGTGGCATCACAGTGCGAAGCTGCTTCCCGAGAGCCTGTGCTCAGGGACCCAGAGCGCCTCGTCAATCCCGTGCACACACCCCAGCACTTGCTTAGACCCGCCCCCGTGGGCACCTTCTCTGCCCACCATCCCTGCCGTCAGCCTTTGCGTCCTCACCTGGGGCTTTCGGGCAGCAGCTCGTGTCAAGCACGGCATCACTGCACTCTGCAGAGCACAAGGTCGGCCAATGGGAGCTGCGCGCCCCTGGGTGCAGGCGGAGGCGGGTGAGATGCTTTGAGTGCGCCGGGCGGCAGCTCCCTGACCTAGCACGTGCACCTGGGGGACATACTAGGCTCCCCACTTGTTCAGAGCCGCAGCCTCCAGTGTCTGAGGGCCATGCTGTACCTCCGGGACCGGCTGCCGGGTCTGGGCTGACCCAGCCCCAAAGCTCCCACCCCGTAAAGGCTCCCGGCAGCCCCAGAGGCTGAGGTGCTTCTCTCAACAGCTGCACGCTCCTGCACAGCAGCTGGATGGGGACCAGGGCCTGGCTCCGCAGGATGGGCTGGCTGCTGTGCTCAGCAGCCCCCGGAACAGGCCAGGTGATGAAGCCAGTGACCCAGACACAAGCCAGAGCCCCAACCGTGAGAGATGGGCTGGAGGCACTGACTGGCTGTGTTCGCCCCGTTGGAGTCTCAGCTGCACCCCTGCAGGGACCACATGCCCCCAGAGTTGCTGCCCCTCAGGGCCACAACCACGTCTCACCATCCCCTTCTCCAGACACCCGTGCCTTTCCTGAAACCTCTTTCCACCCATTTCTATGCTTGAGTCTCTGGTTCAAGCCCAGGCGATGCAGGACGCTGGAGGCGGGGTGGGGGGGGAGGGCGGAGTGCAGACAGGCCCGGGAGCAGCCACACTTCGGGAGACGCTTCCAGGACACTCACCTGGCCCCAAGTGAGGTCACCACAGCACACCCTCCCTGCTCTCCAGCTGCCACTCCCAGGACACCAGACACAGCCTGGACCTAGGAGGGAGAGCGCGTCCACACAGTCGTATATCCCGACATGTGTGCTTTACAGTTCATCCCTGGAGTCTGGACACCCAAGCGCGCCCTCACCCCTCAGGACAGCGGAGAGGCCTGTGTGCAGGGTCAAGCCCCACGGGAATGTTTCAGCTCTCAAGGGTTACTTTTTGCCACGAGCACCCTTGGGCCCCCTTGGGGACGTGCAGATATGTCAGGGACCGGAGGGACAACCTCACAAACTCCCCCTCCACGTCAAGGTGGGGGCCACAGGCTCACTGCCACAGCGAGTGGTCTGGCGGGACTGACTCCTGCTCTCCCTGGAGGCTCTACCTTTCCTTTAACAGCCAACGATCTTGACTGTCTGCTGCCCACCCCTGTGCCTTCCCAAACCCACCGGCAGGTGGGCGTGTGAAGTGAAGACGGTGGAAAGCACCCAGGATGACATTGGCTGGTAAAGCCGAGAAGTGCCCACATCCGCGTGACTGCTCCGTCCAGGGGGGAGGGGAGATCCCGCTCCCCAACAGCCTACGCCAGGTCCTCTGACCTACAACCTGCAAAAACCGATTTCTCTAAGAAAATGAACGTTTCTTATCTGAACAGAAGCTCCAAGTTCTCTGGCGGCATCTCGGGGCGAGGCGGGCAGGTGGCACATCCGGTCCAGAGCTCCGGGGCACCCTGGGGTGGGCGAGGGGCCCGGCCACGCCTGCCGTGGGCAGGGCAGTCTCCGCTGACCCCGTCGAGCCGGCGCAGGCCAAGTGCGTGGTCCCGGCTCCCGTGCAGGAAGCTGTGCTGTCCCCCTCATCCACAACAACGGCTCCTAGAAGTATTTTTTCCGATTCCTTGGGAAGTTAAAGTATTTGAGAAGAATCTCAGGAACTGCTGCCCCAGTCTGGTGGGGGAGCAGATAATGGCCTTCCCGCCCAGGGCTCCAGGAAATGATGTGTGCGGCATTGTTCCTGGGGTGGGGGCGGGGGGCGGCGGGCTGGGAGCCAGACCATGCAGCTCTAGAAACCACCCAGAACAGAAGCCCAGGGCCCGGGGCGCCCCGCCCCAGCATGGGGACTGTGAACAGGGCCTCCTCTGAGGCCGCCCGCCAGCCGCCCACACTCCCACCACTCTCATCGGTGGTGCTGGCCCAGCTTGCCGCAGGAACGGGGAGACCTGCCTGGCGTGGCCCTCCAGCCCCGGCCAATGAGGACATCGGGATTTGGGCAGCCCGCCTGAACCGTTAGATCTGACTCAGCTTGCATCAAAGACCGGCGAGGGCGAGACGCGAGACACACACCCTTCACTTGAGAGGCGCCTGACGCCCCGGGACACATGAACTGGCCCCAAGAGCAATGCCATCTGTGGTGCCAGCTGGAGGCCGCCGTCGCGCCTGGCCACATGCACATGGGCGAAGGAGACGCTGCTGCATCCACCCAGAGCCCCAAGGGCTGCCGCAAAATGGGGGGGAGGGGGAAGGGTAGAGACTCCTGTGCTGCGACCCCACTCCTTGGTGGGGCGAGTCACAGGTGCCCTCCCCAAATGGCCTCCAGACTCGATGGTGACGGCACCGATTTAAAAGCAGATACTGGGGCCTCCCTGGTGGCACAGAGGGTTAGGCACGGCACTGTGAAGCGATCTGCAGCCTCTTCAGCACGAATGCGAGCCCCGGCCAGTCAGGAAGCAACCCACATGGTGCTGCAGACCTCTCCTGCCTCGCCCGCTGCTCCCCGCAGCAGTGTACTTTGGTCAAACTGCCTGTTCTGTTCCCCACTCTGTCTCTGGTGAGTCCTCTCACCCCCTGCATCTCTGGCCTGTACCCCAACTCTTGTATGCATAGAAATATATAAATCTTAAAAAAAAAAAATAAAAGCAGATACTGAACACGGCATTCACAGGCAGGCTCCGCCTGAGACAAGGCGCAGAACTCATCGAACCATCAAAACCAACCTACAGGCTGGGTGCTGCTGACCGCTTGCTTTACAGAGGGGGAAACCGAGGTCCAGGCCCACTCAGTTAACACGTGGCAGGGCTGGAACGGCCACCTCTCTCTGCCCCTCACTGTCCTGCCTCCCATGGGGTCTGCTCAGCTGGGGTGCAAAGGTGTCGAGAGTCTCCTCTAAGTAGAGGCACTTGGACGGTTTCCTGATGAAACAAGAAGCTCCAGTTGTGTTTTTACCTGAAGCACCGCAGTCCTGCGATGACCCTGCACCCGCCCCACGACGGCTGTGGTGGGAGGGGCTACTTGCCCTGGACGAGAAAGCCCAGGCTGCATGCAGACCAGGCTCCTGGCCAGTTCGTGGTCTGCTGTCCTCAGCACAGAGATGGCCACGTAGTCAGTGGCCATTGTTTGCCCGGGGGGCAGAAAGTGGCTGCCTTCCTTGCTCATCCCCCTCTCTCTCCAGGGGGCAGAGGACGGGTGCCCGCAGCCCAGAAACGCTCAGGACACCCCCTGGACCGGAGACATTCCGGGCCCTGCCCTTCGCTCCCCAAATCCCACTGCTAGTTTGCCTTTGCTGCACATGATGCTCTGATGAGCGCCCCTGCCACGGGCTCACGGGGCTCCAGGTCATGCGGGTGGCACCGAGGCTCCCCATAGTGACAGGGGTTGCTGCTCTCCCGTCCTGCAGGCACCTGCACCAGGTGCAGTCAGTCCAGAGGCGCAGGGCCAAGGCTTCGTCCAGGTCTCTCCAGGCAGGCGTGGACGCCACCGAGCGCTCCAGGGATGAGCCCCAGCCAGCCCTTGAATGCTGCAACCATTCCCCACTGCAGGCCCCGCACTGCTGCCTCTGAGCATTCATTTAGAAATCCTGACTCTAGGACCTCCCCTGGTGGCGCAGCGGTTGAGCTTGGGTTGCAAAGCTGTCTGTAGCCTCCGTAGAGCCGGTTCGATCCCCGGCCACCAGCGAGGGTCCCACATGGCGCGCAGACCTCTCCTGGTGCTCCCGCTGCTCCCCTCAGCAGTGTACTTCGTCCGTCTGCCTGCTCTGCTCCCCGCTCTGGCTCTGGTGAATTCTCTCACCCTCCCGCGCTTCTGACTGTACCCAGTGCATGTATAAATAAATAAACAAATCTTTAGAAATCCTGACTCTAACGGGAGAAGAGGACCCAGAGTGTTTAAAAACACAACTAAAAATATTACCGGATGTGTTTCTTGAGGCGATTTGGGTCAGTCTCACAACTACGACTTACCGCCTCCCACACTACTCTACACTTCAAAGTCCCAGGCACAGTTTTTTTGCTGCTGTCTTACTGGAGTTTTACTGCTAATAAACCCTCCTACCAGTTACAGCATGAAAAATCTGTACACAAGACATGAATTCAGGCGAAACGCAATTCTCAAAAGCACCGAGCGCGCCCACGGTCCTCACCTGCCTCCTGCCTCCTCTGGCTTCAGCTCAGTCACATCCCTTCGTCTCACACACACCTCTGACTGCCCGGACAGCGGGAAGTAGCCTGTTGCTGCGGTGACACCTGCTGGCCGCAACTATGAATCCCAGCTTCTAAGGGAAGGAAAGTCTTTAGCATCACGATCTTTCTTAGTAATATTAATGTCCTCATTTATATAATTTTATTTCAACTAAGCCTTCAAGCAAATTTAACATGCAACTGACACTTAACACATTTATCTTGTAACTGTGATCTCGGGGGTAATTTGATAAATCATTGTTTCTGAAACAAGTATTTCCCAAAAAAGCTGGTCAAGCATTTCAGGTTACATTGTTCTAAAAAAAGTGACTTGACTTGCAGCTTTTCAAAATCTGTACTTACTCCATTTTAAGGGAATGTATTACATCACACCATAAACTTACAGAGTGCAGCAGGCCTCGTGGAAGGCCCCCTCCCACCTCACGTGGGGTTATCTCTGGAGTATGGTTTTCTCCATCCATGGAGAGAGAGTTAAGGAAACCCCAGTGATCTGTGGCCCCAGCTCGGGGCCTCCCCGAGACGAGAGGACAGCTGGCGCGCTGTCCAGCGGCAGTTGCAACGGGGAGCTGGTAAACATCCAGTTGAAGGAAATCTCAAATCCTTATCTCTTCTGTTACTTTCACCCACTTCTGACAGTCAGGCAGCGCAAGGCCTGGGGCAGCCGAGCCGCGACCCAGCATGCGCCCCCGCATCAGCACGCGCCAGCTGGGCAGTGGTGAGGAGATACCTGGAAGATTTACCCAGACTTCAAATTCTCTCTCCATCCATCTCCTGAAATTGCTGCATTTCATTCTGCTTGGTTTATGTGAAGGGCAGAGTTGGGGCCTGTGCACAGCGTGGAGTGCAGACTTCTGGGGACCCGTAGTGACAGGGGTGCCTGCCCTGTCCTGACACCTGCTCATGAGACAGGACTCGCAGACCGGTGGGGCTCACCGGTGGTGACCCAGGGCACACGTTGGGTGGGCTTGGGGCCAGCCCTGCGTGAGGCTGTGCCACCAGCTGGCTCCTCAGGGGCTGGGCCCTCCTCACTGAGTGGCCAGAACAACGTGGACGGAGCCTCTCGGACACAGCCGCCACAGCAAAGCAGATGGACACGGGAGGTTAGGCACCAGCCCAAGTCGATGGCTCTGGGGAAGGTGAAAGTCAATATACTTTTGCCAAGCTTTTCCTCCCACGCCTGTTTTCAAAGCTGGACACTTAAGTGCTAGACACAAAACCCAGCCCAAGTGTCCTGTGCCCGGGGGGCTCACGGCTTCGCACTGCCCTGCGGATCACCAGAGTCCTGCAGGGCCGGGGGCCACCCATGTCCACCCGCCACCTGGCTCCACCACCGGTGGGGACCGCGCACCATCTCCCTGCCAGCTGCAGGCCGCCGTGACAGCTGTGTGAGCCCCGATCAGGGACCTCCACGTGCCCTGCATGTGGGATGAGGGAGTGAAAGCACTTCTCTGCATCTCTGCCAACGGCCTCTGAGACAGGGAACGGGAAGGGCAGCAGTGACAACCAGAAGACGCATGCCAGCTCCTCTCTGAGTCACCCACGGGCCCCCGAGAGCTGGGGGAGGGTGTGCGCACCTAGCCTGCACTTGGTGCAGGCCCGGTGAAGCTTTCTTCTTCTGCACGAGAGAACACACAGTCTGCTGCAAAGCTCGGAGCAGGGGCTGCAGGGCTGGCGGGCGGTTCTGGGGAGGCAGGGCCATCTCGGGAGCTTGTCCGGCCACGCGAGAGTTAGAAGGTGGAGAACTTGGCCAGATCCTTCTCCATCTGTGCGTACTGTGCCCTGAGCCTGCCCAGGGCCCGGCTGTGCTCCTCGTCCACGGCCGCCTGCTCGCCACGCTGCTGTGTCATGAACGCCTCCCACTGGGCTCGCTGCTTCTTCTCACTAGCTATTAAATGGTCGTTCAGAATCTGAGAAAAGAAAATTTGAAAATCACATGACACTTTCTAGACAATTATTCTTCCATGCAGGAGACAAAGGAAACGTTCTCTCTTGCCAGCAGGCGACCATCGCAACTACCATGTGGGTCAGTGACCAGCCCCGCGCCACAGCCTGAACGTACACAGAAAACAAGACTTACAGACACACACCGAGCTGCTGCCACCAGCCACACACCGGGACTCCCTCCCTGAACTGCAAAATGCCAGGGCCCGTGCTGACAAAGGGAAGAGCCAAGCGCACTTCTACACCTCTCTTTCACGCGAATCCCATCGCCCTCAAGTAATTTTCAAAATTAAAGAACATAGCCCAAAGCAGCCCCACTACAAAAAACCCAGACACACGCCTCACAGCAAGTGAGTCAGGCAGTAAACAGAGCCACACGCTACTCTCCCGGGGAAAGAGCTCAGAAGCGCTTTTCCAGGAAGCCATGAACACGCAGGCCCGTGCGGACACCTGTGCTCCCGATTCCCCGTCCTGTGTGAGGACCAATGTCCTTTCCTTGCGCGCAGCCCCGAGGACGCAAGCAGGTGAGTGGAGAAGGCACGGGTCAGCGGGACACCCGTCAGCGTCCTCAGTGCGCAGCGTCCTCGGGTGCCTCGCCTCATGGGGACCTGGACCAGATTCTGACGCAGAGCCTCAGGACGGGCACGCGGGAACAGGGGTGGTGCCGGGACAGCCCCCAGCACGCAAAGCCACGCGGCCACCCCAGGAGGAGGACGCAGCCTCTACTTGCACGTGGCCCTGGGCTGCCCTCCTCTGCGCCAGGGTGCAGGGCAGGGCGAAGCCAGGTACCCCAGCCCCAGGCACCGCGGGGTGGAGTCCCCTCCAGTCCCTGGGCACCCATCAAGGCACGCCCAGTAGTGGTCTGCACGGTAGCGCCAGCAGCCCGGCCGTGACACCACGCCCCTCCGCTCCACACACTGAGGGCCTAAGGGCGGGAGCGCGACTGTCTGCTCATGTGACTCGGCCGCCGGGCTGCACGACCACCCAGCCGGAGCCTCTGTGACATCCAGCTCTGCGCCTTTTCCATTGTCAAGTATGAATCCAGGCTTCCCAGAGGGAGCTTTAAATGCGCAGGTCGGGGGCTTTCTCACAAAACCAACAAAAAGCCAAATCCCACTACAAAAGCTTTTTCTTCCAATCTGACCTGAGACTCCTCAGGAACAGGCTTTTCCAGTGAAGCGGTTCCAGCGAGTGCAAGGGGACCCACGGTCAGGCGGCCGTGGTGGTGGCCCTGGCCCAGGCCACAGGGGTAACCACGGGGAGGGGCTGCTGACGCACGACACTCGGGGAACAAGTCACGCAAAATCCCGCATGTTACTTTTATCTTCCCTGTGGGGGGATCAGGAGCCCCCAGATGCCCACAGCCTAAGGAGCCCCCAGCCCTGCTGGCGGGGACTCTGCCGCAGGCACCAGAGCAGCCTCCCTCCACGAGGCGCCGCATCAGACAACAGTGTCTGGCGTGGGCTGGCGCCGTGCACGCAGAGAACGCCGACGTGCTGCTCGGACGCGCCCCAAGGACACGCTGCGCAGAGGCAGAAGGGAGCCCCCCCAGGCCACAGACCGTCCAGCTGCACTCCACTGGGCAAGAGAGCCCGTCACCAGGGTCCGAAGCGAGTCACAGACCTCTCGCTTTGCGAGGAGGGGCTGGGTCCTCCGTCCGTGACGCTCACGGAGACAGCGTGGCCGTGCTGAGTCTGCCGCAGGTAAGAGTGACGGCTCACAGCAGAACGGCGGACCACGCCTTCTTATTCCCTCCAGGTTGTTTTTTGTTCTTTAATTTTAATTCATTTTAGCAATAGATTCTTGAAATAATTCCAATCTGCCCTGAAGTGAGGCCACTAGACAGAGGAACAGGCCCCTCCATCCCCACATCTGACACAACCCCCCTCGACAAGGCCACAGTCAGCGCAGACCGCGAGCACAGACCCTGGGGATGCCGCCAAGGCCGTCACGTGAGACAAGACCTCCGGGCCTCAGGCGGGGGTGAAGAAGGTGCTCGAACAGCCTTGGGAGGGACTGCTCCGACCCCACCCAGCTCCCGCAACGGCAGCCGCTGACCTCTCCTCAGCCTCCACTTTTACCAGCAAAACTGCTGCGGGGGCTCAGCTGCTTCCCCACAATCAGCACAGAAAACGGGGGCAGCGCCCACCCCCACGCCGACAGCACCGCGCCCTCCACACAGACCGACCGCCGGGGACAGAGGGCGTGAAGGAGACTGTGAAGCCATCAAATTGAAAAAAAAAAAAAGGAAAAAAAAAAGAACACCAGAAGCCGTCACAGACGCTCAACATGGGCCCTTCTGGGCCGGCACTCCCGTCCGCCCGGCTGCACCGGAGCTCGCCCCCTGCCAGACACCGCCACGCGAGCGGTCGTCACAGCGCAGGAGAAAGCAAATGCTGACAACTGAGATGGGAAGAAACGAGCAAGGCGCCAGCCGTGCAAAACAGGAGGCAGACCCACGCCACAGCCCACCGGCCAAGGCCCACCCTCGCTTCACGAGGCCCTGTCTTTGGCCACGAGACGGCAGCTTCTGTTTGGACACGTCTGGTGGCAGGACTGGCCGCGCTTCCCAACCCCAGCTCACAGCAGGCTGGGCTCCTGGAGGCCGCCCTCACAGGCTGCCAGAGCCCCCGAGCGTGCGGTGAGCCCCCATGGGCAAAGCTGCCCATGGGCACTGATGACATAGGAAGCAGGCGGGCAGCACGGGGGTCTCCTGCGGAGGAGGAGCTTGTCCTACCAGCTGGGGCTCCCCTTCCAGACACTCACTCCTGAGACCGCGCAGCCCCTTCTCCCGGGCACCTGGTGAGCGCAGGCCTGAGCATAGAAATCCACCCGCGGTCCAGTCTAGTCCGGCCCACTCAGCTCGCCTGTCTGCTCTGTGGCTCCATTGCCGTGTTGTCCTTGAAACGTGGGTCCACATCAGAGCTGGGCAGAGGGGGCCGCGCCCACCCACTGCACAGGGCACTCTGCTGGGGCTGGGCTGCGCCGTCCCTGTCTGGGGTAGGCGGCAACACGCGCATGGGGCAGGCGTCCACATGTCTCGACAGGGGCCTCTCCCTGGCCAGGGCAGCGGACAGGCTGCGAAACACGCCACGAAGACCAAAAGAAACACTGAATCACTACGGACCCTGGGCCTCCGGGCTGCGCTCCACACCTGGGCTCAGCACACGACCGTTCACGCGCCACCCGCTGGTGACTCTCACCCTGTGACCACGCTGGCCCACAGCCACGAGTGCCCTCGCGACACACACCGCCCTGCTCAGAGGAAGGCTCACACCACAGGGGGTTTCCTCGCTCCTCCCGGAGACAAGTCACGCTTTCAGGGAGAAGGGAGAAATGTGGAGGAGGAAGCAGGAGGCCTGCAATTTGAGTCACGAAAACGTGGACGGCGCAACCAGTGCCTTCAGTGACATGGCCATTTGGAAACCTTTTAAAATGACAGCATCAAAGGCGAACCCAGTGTTTTGGATCCAGAGTCATGGTGCCCCACCCCGCCCGGCCCCTGCTCACCTGTCTCCGGTCTCGCTCCCTCTGCTGCAGGCGGCTGGCGGACGCAGCAGCGGCTTGCACTGTAACGACACAGACGCCAAGTTTAATCAGCAGCCCGGGCTCCAGGGAGACTCACCTGGGGGACGCCAGGATCGCCAGATCTCAAAATCCACCACCAAAACCAAATCCTGTTTGCTCACGGTGGGTGCCCGAGGGAACAGGCTCTGTGAAGATGTCAGGGTGCAGGCCGGATGCACCATGTCTGAGCTCTGGGAGGGAAGCCGAGGCCTGGAGAGCTGTGAGCATCACCTCAGGACCCCGAGACGGGGGCATGTCGGGCTGACCGTGACTGTGTCCCTGCAGCCCTGACTCACTCACTGCCCCTTCAAATTTGCACCAACCACATCTCTGCTGCAGGCGGGACCTGGGATCTAGAATTTCCACAGCATCTCCGGCCCACCGTCCCTGCACTCCTGGCTCAGGGGTCGTCCTGGCCACCACCACCAGATTCACGCTTCAGTGGTGGTTTCTACTGTAAACCCAACCCTCACAGTCACCCTCGGGGCCCCCGAGTCCCCGCATGCTGGGAGAGGAGCCCTGCACGGCCCACTGGCCGCTGTGGACATGGAGGCGCTGTGTGGGGGGTGGCCGCTTGGGGCATGGACAGAGCTCTGAAGAGGTGGTGCCCCCGCCACACGTGACCCTCTTCTGGCTCTGCCCACTCAGCTGGCACTGAGGTCCACCACTCAGTCTCCTCGCTCACCGCCCCGTCTCCGTACACGATGGTCCCCCCGGCCTGGCTGCTGCCAGTCCAGACCAGTGCAGTCCACACCTCCTCCCGCCAGACCCCACAGGGCAGCACCAGTGTCAGGCAAGCTGGTACCCCGGGCCCTGGGCGCCTGCCCCACTTGCAGAGGAAGCAGGACGGCTCGGACACAGCCGAGCTGATGGGAGACCGGAAGGATGCAGAGATCCTGCTAAGCTTAAAATCATTAAATCTCAACACCAGAACCACCCACTGCGGTCAGGAGGCTACACCCCTGCCCCACCGGCCCAACCCTCAGGGGCATGTTTGGGGCTTGTGCCCATGGGCCTCCCTCACTGCGGGGACACCCTTCAGGGGGCTGCGCCCTCCCCCGCTGCACAGCTGCTGCCCCAGGAAGTCCCCCCCTACAGGGACTGGGGCCCTCTGGGGGACCGTGACTTCTCCTTGGGAAGCATGCCGGCCCCAGCCGCGAGGATGTGCTGGCGGCTCCTCATCTTCAGAAACCTGCCTCCTCTTGCAGGCTGTTCACCTTAGCGCCTTCAAAGCCAGGGTTCAGTCCTGAAGGCTCCCGATCACGGCTTCTCCAGCAGGAGACACGAAAGGAAGCGGGCTAACAGCCCGCCGCCCTGGAATGCCAGCCCGTCACCTCCCCAGCGGGCTCCGTCACCGGCTCAGAACACACTTCCAAACTCTATTACTTGACAGTGGACGTTGGGGCTTCAGCACTTGAAGATCACTACGAACGCCAAAGAAGTACAGGAGCACAGGGTGTGGCGCCCCCTGGAGGTCAGGAGTGCCGGCGACACCCTCTCCCCACACACATCTTAGATGGAAGACCCATTTTCAGAAGTTTCAGTCCTTTTGAAGGAATGTGCTTTTAAAACCTTCAGCCAGGCGGGGCGCTGCCCCAGTGCAGGGCAGAGCCCAGCATGACCCTGCTGGCAGGACACCCCGGCTCCCAGGTCTGCGAGTGACATGAACCAGCAGTGAGTGCACGCGCCAAGTTGGCAGACGCGAATTCCCTGGGGACGGCGGCTGAACCAGGGGCTTTTTAAAGCCCTGCCGGCCCTGAGCTCTTGACGAAGCCACAGACGCAGTGCTGTCTCTTCTGGCAGGAGAGGCTGCCAACGGTCATGCCCAGGCTCTTGGGCGGACGACAGAGCCACAGCTGGACGGGCACTAAGTGCGGAGCCATACTAGCCTCTGTGTGGAGCTCCCTTGGCAGGACAGGGGCCTCTGGGTGTGCCCTGGGCCCCACAGGGCCCTCTCCGGGTTACTGAGACCCTCCAAGGAGCTCCCGGGGCCACCAGCCAACATCGCTGTCCGTGACCACATCTCACCCCACCAATTTCGACACCAGCGGGTGGGGAGGGAAGCAGGACGCCCTGGGGTGCCCTGGGTACAGGTACCCTGGGGTTTGCGTCAGCGTTCATCAGGACATCTGTCAGGGCCAGGGCGGTGACATTAGGCAAGAGTACCCCTTGGACTTCCCGCCACCTGCGCAGACACCAGACGCGGTTCTGGCACCTCCCCGCCCGGCGGGCACTGTGCAGCAAGGCCTGGAGGAGACCCAGCCTGACGCCAGTTGGGCCCGCCAGCCGCTTGCCTCCTGGCCGTGGGGTCACTGGCTGGGGGTGTTTTCCGTCCCCAGGAAGGTGACTCTTCATCGGCAAGGTCTCCAGGGCGTGAGCCACCGCCATCTGTGGCACCTCCTCCTACCTGTGGACGAGCTGGGTGGGTCAGCACGGAGCCAGAACGGCTGCCTTCCTCGCAGCCTCCCCTTCTGAGATGAACTCCGAAGACAACACTTATTTCATGGAGCAATTTGGTAAGTTCAGTAAATATTCCTTTTTGATCAACTAATATCTCCAGGTTAAAATAGTCTGATGGGCCTCCCCGATGGTGCAGCAGGTTGAGCGCAGTGCTGTGAAGCTGTCCGCAGCCTCTGCAGCACGGGTTCAATTGCCAGTCAGCCAGGGAGATTCCCACATGGCGCAGCAGACCTCTCCTGTCTCGCCCGCTGCTCCCCTCAGCAGAGTCTTCAGTCCGTCTGCCTGTTCTGCTCCCGACTCTGTCTCCGGTGAATCCTCTCACCCTCCTGAGCCTCTGACTGTACCCCAGTTCTTGTATAAATAAATAAATCTTAAAAAAAAAATAGAACTTTTTGAGATAAACACATGCTATTTGCAGCAACATGGATGGCGCTGGAAGGGATCATGCTCAGCGAAATAAGCCAGAAAGAAAAAGAAAAATACCAGATGGTCTCACTCATAGCAGGAATGTAGAAAACTTAAAAAAGGGACCAGGAAAGAGAATAACTATAAGAAAGTGAAAATCAAAATCAACAAAAAACTATGAACCAGAGACACTCTATGGAGGGTGGGGGGCGGGAGGGGAGGAATTGGGGTCAAAATAAGGGTGCTGCAATTGTATGGGGAATATAAAAATAAAATTTATTTAAAAAAAAAAACAACTTTTTGTTTCATGAAAAACGTTATCACAAGCAAACACTCGCAACGGTTATTTTTTCATTAAAGGTAGAACACGAGTTTCCTCTTTGAAAACAAAGCCTCATTTCACAGCCCAGCTCCTCTTACAGATGAAATCATTTTGTTTAAAAAAAATAGGCAAAAAGGAAACCTGTTCCAATTTGCCTGCCTGAAGGAAGGCCCCAGGTACAGTGGACAGGCTGGCTCTGAGGCCAGTGCTGTGGACACCCGGGCTACACGGCACCACCTTCTCCCTGGCAGCCTCCTCTTCCGGCACACCCAGGCTACCAGGGAGCATGCTGGAAGCCCGCAGCCCCCGGCATGGATCCTTACCTGTCTGCAGAAGGGGGCGCAGGCTGAGCTCCATGGCCTCTTGGCACCGGGGCAGGGTCTGCTCACTGGTCTCCTGGGTCATGTGCTTGAGGTTCTCGAGCACGCGCATTTCTCGAAGCCCACGCTTCTCCTGCACGAACAAAGCAAAGTTCGGACCCTGTGATGTCTGCCGTCCTCAGAAACTGTACTGGGCTTGCACCCATATGTGACTGCTCTGCGGCCACTGACACTTGCAGGCCTCCTCCTAAGCCCTGGCAACAAATGAAGGCACAGCCTGGAGGCGTTTTTTATTACCTGGAAGGCTTCAAAACCTATAACGAGTAACCTTCGTGCACAAGCAATGTTGAAAAGTGGGTGAGAAATTCTGAAAACACCCAAAAAGGCTGAGGTCGTCACCGACTCTGCAAAGCAAACGAGACGTGCCTGGCCTGACTTCACACGCAGTCAGCTGCTGTCACATGCTTCCAGACGCCGTTTCCCCAACCCCACTGTCCTTGGACAAACCTGCAGAAGCCCCTGTGCTGACGTCTGTCTGCAGGGGGCTGGGCCCTGACTGAGCATTCCCTGCTCCCACATGGAGCATCCCTGGCAGAAGGGCGTGATCTCCACCCGGACACTAGGCCTGGTGTTCGCCAGGCAGAGGGTGCCCACCCTCACCCCAAGACAGAGCTGCTCAGGCCTGCTTCCCTGGCAGCTGGCATGTCCGCCCGTGCCCCCTTGTGGCTGGAGATGGTGTGCAGGGGTGCAGCCTGCATCGAGACCCTGCAGACAGTGGTCATGGCCCGGGCCTGTGCTCTAAGGGCAGGGTCAGGGGGAGAAGGGGCCGAAGGCCCTGTGTGTGGCAGGGCTGGGTTCCGGGGACAGGGTAGGACACGGTAGTGGACACAGGTGGTGAGCGCCAGCACTCACTCTGCCTTCCGAAGGTGTTGGTGAAGGATGCGGCAGACCCCTGCGGAGACGCGTGAGAGCGGCAGGCACCTGCTCCCAAGGTGCCCTGCAGGCTCCCGCTGTGCTCGGGGTGAGGGCAGGGTCTCCTGTGGCAAGCTCAGATGCCCTGCCTGGCTGGGGTCTCCCCTGAAACGAGCCTGGCCCACTCAAGCTTGGAGGGACGGGGAGAGCACATGGCAATGAGAGGCCCTACCACGGGGTGTGGCGCTGGGATGGCAGGGTCAGAGAAAGGGCATGGACGCTGCTGCCCACAGCAAATGTGATTAAAGGCGCTAGGAAGGGAGCTGGCGGGAGCTGGCCAGACAGGGCCCCGCGGGTGATAACATAGGCACAGGCAGCGGCAGAGCGAGCAGTGAGGTAGCGTCTGGGGCACTCGTCCACTGGGCGTGCGCCTGGCAGAAAAGTGGCCAAGATGACGCTCAGGAGCTCGAGCCAGTGCTCGGGGTGTGTCCGAGTGAGCGCACACGGGCCTGGACCCTGAGCCACAAGTCCCCGCAGCCCCTTACTCACTGCACCTCACTCCACAGACGAGACAGCTGAGCTTATGGGTGCTCATTTCCCCAGATTAGGCCCCGAAGCATCCATCCAAAGTGTCTGCTCTGCATCCGCGCCCTCCCACCCATGTTGCTCCTGGCACGGCCCCCGGTCATTCACGAGACACAACCAGAGTTTAAAACCGGAGACTCTCCCTCTCGTACACGAGCACACCCAAGGTTCAAATACTTACTTCAAATTCTTTCACGAAATAACGGGCTTCACCTTGAATGATGGGCCTGTGATCTAGGAGCCTTGAGTGAATTTCTCCAAGATCTAAAAGAGAGAATGAAACTCGAGGTTAATGGGGTGCAGTAGCACCGTCTGCAGCGGGTCTCCCGCCTGTCCCCAAGATGGGTGAAGGGAGAGTCCAGCTGGACAGCGGGGCGGGGGCTCCCCATCCAGTCTGGAACTGCCGCTTCTGAGAGCAATCAAAGCTGAAGACACGTCTGTCCACCAATTCGTGCCCACGTGTCAGAGAGCAGAAAATCCCTAGTGCAACAGGGGCACCTCCAAACACTGACAGCTGCAGCAGCCGGCGGCAGGGCCAGAGCCTGCATCGGGGCCCCGTGGCAGTGAAGAGCAGCATGCACGCGCTGCATCACCGTGGACGGACCCCAGCCAGAGCACCGCCGCGCAGCAGGCTGCAGAGGCCTCAGGCACCGACGGGAGCCTTCTCAACGCGCAAGAGACGTCGCCGTCAGAGACACCAAGAGCAACAAACGCCGAGGAAACGCAGGACAAAGGCCAACCCAAGACCGGCCCCGCAGAGAGAGGAGCCGCAGGGCACGCGGGGCTTTACTGTTCGCTGCGATGGGCAGAGAGTGTTCCCCTGGTCGCTGCTTTTTGACGGGTCAAAAGTCATAAAGAGGAAAGCGTTCCGAGCTGTGAGCGCTGGGGTGACTTATTCTCCTTCGCAATGGCTAACCGCACAGCTTAAGGTCGTGCCTGAGAATCCCGGAGGAAACGGGGGCCTGCCATACCCATTCCTGGTATCCTCAGGCTCTCGAATTTCTGATTTTCGTAGACAAGCAGTGGGGCAAACTTCAAGGCTCCGTTTAAATGACTTTTGTCAGGATGCATCCTAAGGACGCACCCCGAGGGCGGAACCCGCACACGGACGCAAGCTCCCCGGCGGCCTCTAGCCTACACCCCAACTCTTACATGCACAAATAAATCTTTTAAAAAAAAAGATTACCACATGTTACTTTACACATTATCATAGGAATGAGGCCACTAACTCATTTTACTACAACATTATAACGAGCAGATGACAGTAATTCTGAGTTTGGAGACGTTCCAAGGTGACGACTGACCTCCTCACCATGCAGCCCAAGCCCAGCCCTGCCACACGCAGGCCCTCTTCTGCTCTCTGAGGCAAAGGATAAAGGAGCCTTTTGTTGTCTGCAAGTTCATACTCTAACCTGGGACAGACACCCCCTCCCCCAACGCAGAAGGCAGAGGGACACTGAGGCGGGAGACCACAGACGGCAGGACATCCCCGCTGGCCCCGTCCCTGGAGGCCGCAGGTGGACTATGGGGCTCTGAGATCATGACACTCACCGTCCCACAGCACCAGCGCGCGATGTCACTCCTGATCCCCAATTCAAGAGCCCACCTGGCTCCGGGGTGCCCCTTCGGAACCCAGCCAGGTGCTGTGGATTCCCACAACGGGCGCAAGTTATCGCCGACAACGCCGCCTCAGCCTGGACGGCGGCCCTTGCAGGACACAGGCACGGACTTCTGCAAATCAGAGGTCAGCTGGCGTCAACCACAGCCCGTGTGTTCCCGACATCCAGGCCCAGCAGGGACACCTGCTCCATCACACTTTCTCCCGGGGCGAGCCGGCAGGTGTCCTCAAAGTTCCCCCACAGCCTCCTGAGCTGCGGGACTGCTCCCCTGCAAGCCTCCCACTTTCACGCATGAACCCCCTCAAAAGCATAGCTGGTACCAACCCAGGGAGCTGAAGGTGGCCCTGGGCGGGCGACGTGACCACACAGGCCCAGGGCCGCGGATCCGGCCACGCCGCCCACTTACCGGGGCTCCTCCTGTGCCCGCGCCGGCCTGGCCTCCTCCCACGCGCCCCCCACCGCCCGCGCTACCTGGGCACGCGCGGCCGCACACAGGCCCTCGGATGCATTGCGCCGCATCCGCCATGTAACTGGCCCAGTCACCCACAAAGAGCACAAGGACACCACAGGCCACTGAAGAGAAAGCAGCGGGGAGCCGAAAGCAGAGCGGCTCTGCCCTGCTCCAGCTCGCCGAGGCTCTTCCCCGCGGTGTGGGGACCCCGAGAAACGCCCTGTGAGGACCCTGGTGAGAGGCGGGTGCAGGCACACCCACAGGAGCTCCACCGAGAGGCGGCCCGACTGCCTCTGCCCAGCGCCGATGTAAAATCCACACCTGGGCACACGGCTCGTGCGTTAGCGTCCCACCACGCGGGACAGCCCCATCCCCTCCCGAGGGCAAGTCGTGGGCAGCCCGAATCCCCCCAGGCGCCTCAGTCACCCCAACGCGTCAGCCCCAGGCTGCCAGCTCTCAGGCTCTGCTGTTGACCATGCGGTTCCAAACTAAGTCCAAGCACCCGCTTTGTTCTTAACTGCTAGCACTTGAGGCTTCAAGACCTGACACCCAACCTTCAGGAAGGCCCCCTCCCCCTAACACCCACCTGGGGCCAGAAACCCTCTGACCCAACCCTTAAGCACTGAAATCATCACGTGTCCCTCCCGCTGGGAGCTGGTAACGAAACTCAAGAAATACGTGCTCACAGTCGCTCATCTCCAAGCAGGAGGGCCGAAAACACATTTTTAGCCCGAAAAGGGCGGTTCCATAACAGACTTCCAGTTAGATTCAATATTACTGGTTTAGCTTGAAAACTTTCTCACAAATGGTTTTTGCTTAAAGAAAAGTACACTGCAGCAAGGGATCCCGGCGGAGTGAAAGGGAGCCTGGGAACGGGAGAAAATATTTGCAAATTATGCCTCTGCCAAGGGCTTAGTGTCTAGGACACAGAACCTCGACAGAAACGAATGGATTAGCTACAAATGGCAAAGGACTTGAACAGCGCCTCCTCCATGGAAGCCGAACACATGGGCCCACACACGTAAAAAACACACCCGGCATCACTAGTCATTCGGGAGACAGGAATCAATGGGAATCAAAGCTACAAGGTACGCCTTCAAGAAAACCACCAGGGTGGCTGCCGCGAGAGCAGAAAACAGCAGGTGGTGACAAGGACGTGGAGAAAGTGGGGCCAGGAGCGTGGTGAGGGGGAACATAACCTAGCACTCCCTTGACCCAGCGACTCCACTGTGGCCTGACTGCTTTCCACCAGACTCCTGTCTCTTGGAATGGAAAGCAGGGGCTCCAATGGGTATTCGCACACCCATGTTCACATTCACAAGCACCAAAGGTGGAAGCAATACACGTGTTCATCCACGGATGGTGGGTCCACGCCGTATGCAAGCGCCCGTCACCGGTGACGCTTCAGATGGCGACAGACTACAGAAGGGCCTGTGGCTCCCACGGCTGCCTCACGCGGCAGGGGCGTGGCGGGCACGGCAGCTGGGGGTGTGATCACTCTGTGATGTCTGCACAAAGGCAAACCACCTGCTGGTGCTCTTGTTAGAATTGTCCCGTAGGAGACACGACAGCACACACGGAGGGTGCCACAGCTTCAACAAGGAGTCTGACTCTCACTGCAGCCTGGATGCACCTCGAGATTGCCCCAGGGAGCCCACACGGCATTATTTCACTCTCCGAGATATCTAGACTAGTCAAATGCAGAGACAAGCTCCAGAGGTGGCTGCAGGGAAGTGGTGTGACTTAACGCCACCGACCCACACATTCAAAGTGGCCAGGATCAATTCTGCTACGTGCACTTTGGTTTTTAAAAATGTTGTCGCTGGGGCCTCCCTGGTGGCGCGAGGGGTTGAGCACAGCACCGTGAAGCTGTCCGCAGCCTCTGCAGCGAGAGTTCCATCCCCGGCCAGGGAGCTACCCACAGGGCGCAGCAGACCTCTCCTGTCTCCCCGCTGCTTCCCTCGGCAGTGGGTTTCAGTGGGTCCATCTGTTCTGCTCCCCGCTGTCTCTGGGGAGTCCTCTCACCCCGCACCTCTGGCCTGCACCCCCGTCCCTCTACGCATAAACAAATCTAAAAAGAAGCCGCAGTGGGCGCCCCGGGGACTTCTGGGGGGGCCGGGGCTGCCCCGGAGGGCGGCGCCTCCCGCACCCTGGCTCCGCTTGGGGCGTCCGCGCAGACACCGCTTTGCCGGCACGACCAGCGCAGGGGGGCGAGGGCAAGGACGAGGCGCAGAGCGTGCTGGTGGCGAGGGGGGTCTGTGTGGTGCGGGCGCGCGTGGCGGGGGGGAGGGGGAGGCCGTCGTGACGGGGCGCGCGGGGGGGGGTAGAGGGGGCGCCATCGTGACGGGGCGCGCGGGGGGAGAGGGTCGTGAAGGGGCGCGGGGGGAAGGGAGCGGCCGTCGTGACGGGGCGCGCGTGGGGGAGAGGGCGGCCGACGGGGCTCGCAGGGGGGAGAGGGAGCGCTGTCGTGAAGGGGCGCGCGTGGGGGGGAGGGGGCGGCCGTCGTGACGGGGGGGGGGCACGCGGAGGGGAGAGGGAGCGCCGTCGTGACAGGGCGCGCGCGGGGGGGGGGTGGCGGCCCTCGTGACGGGGCACGCGGGGGGGGGAGGGGGCGGCCGTCGTGACGGGGCGCGCGGGGGGGGAGAGGGAGCGCCGTCGTGACGGTCGTGACGGGGCGCGCGGGGGGGGGGGCGGCCGTCGTGACGGGGCGCGCGGGGGGGAGAGGGAGGCCGTCGTGACGGGGCGCGCGGGGGGGAGAGGGAGGCCGTCGTGACGGGGCGCGCGGGGGGAGAGGGGGCGGCCGTCGTGACGGGGCGCGCGGGGGGGAGAGGGAGGCCGTCGTGACGGGGCGCGCGGGGCGGGGGCGTCACCGAGGCGCGCGGACACAGGCCGCCCCTGCGCGCCGCCGGCGGAGGCGCGGGGCCCTCGTACCCTTGATGATGAGCTGCGCCGCCGAGCCCGCCGTCCCCAGCGAGTCCCGCTTCCTGGTGCCGCCGCCGGTCGGTGCGGCCTCGCCGGCCCCGGGGCCCTCCGTGGCGCCGCCGCTCATACCGGCCACTACGCCCCCCTCAGCGGAAGCCGCGCCTGCGCACGCCAAATCGGGCGCGCGCCTGGCGTCATCCGACGGCGCGAGTCTACCCGGCGTGCCGTGCGGGAAGGGCGCAGGGGCGAGAGGAAGCCGGTGCCGCCATGCTGGGTGCGGGCAGAGGCCGCGCGGCGCGGAAGGAGCGTCAGGCCCGCGCTGGGCTTCCGGGGCCCGCCGAGCGCCCGCCTCCCCGCGCGCCCCGGGGCCCCGAACTCTCGGGCCCGGCATCACTTCCCTGGGAAGGAAGACGCCTGCTTGCAGGTGACGTCCGCCTTGGCGGGGTGCACGTCCCGCCGCCGGCCGGGGCTCCCCGAGGCCGCAGGCGCGCAGCCCCCAGGGCTGCCGGAGGACGCCGTCCACCCGGGGCTTCGGGGGTCCCGCGGGGCCCGCTGCCGTGTCTGCTCGGGACTGACCCGTGCGGGGAGAGCCGTATTTAGGAGCTGGGACCTCCCGCGAGCTCCAGGCCCTGGTTTGAAGCTACTGCTTTGCCTGGGGACGCCGGCCGGTGGACAGGCCGGCTCGCGCCCCAGGCGTGGAGACCAGCCCAGTACTACGGTCGGGAAGCACACACGAAGGGCCTCCCCGTTCTCCGCAGCCCTCTCTGCACAAGAGCGTTCCCCGGAGTCAGCATCAGTCACTGCCACACCATGGAATTGTAAAAGATTTTTCTTTTTTCTTAAATTTATCTTTATTATTTATGCATGTAAGTGCAACAGGGTGGTCCCCAGGAAAGGGGGAGGTTCCCTGCCCCACCCAAGGGAGGGTGGAGCTGAGCAGCAAGAGGAGAAGCAGAAGAAGAGACTGAGGAAGGAAGCAGGATGGAGCCAGGAGACCTGAAGGAGGCGCATGGAGCCTAGAGACATGTGAAGAAACTGCGCTTGTCTTTTGGTCGTGGACTGGGTGACACAGATGTGGGTGAGACCCATGGGGAGGTGACAATGGCAGCTTTTATTTGGATGTTGATTTTGCTCTTTTCCTTCCGGGCTTGTCCGGTTGTTTGTGACCCTTTTCTGTGGGTCCCCACTGGAAGATGTTTTAGACTTGTGGCAGGCTTTGGGGCCTTGCTCTGGGCCGACCCCATATGGATGGAGTTTTACCCACGAGGGGATGGGTAACTTTGGGTGCTTCATTTAGAAACTAGACTCTTTGCCTTACCTGTATTGTTTCCTAGTTTTATTAAAGTTCCTTCCCATTAAAGTGTCATATGTTTTGTGTTGATGCGGCGGATGGCAGAACCCATTTAGAATAGGCAGGTTTGCGGGGTTTGGGCTGCCCCTCTCCCTGTCCTCTGTGCTGGGCTCTCGATTCCTTCTCCGTCCGTATTCCCTATCATCATCTGAGCCTCTACTCTGTGCTAACATCTGTCTCCTTTCCTCTGTGCTGGGCTCTCGATTCCTTCTCCGTCCGTATTCCCTATCATCATCTGAGTCTCTACTCTGTGCTAACATCTGTCTCCTTTCCTCTCTCCTTGGTTCCTGGTTCTGTGTACCCCTCCTATATTCCCTCCTGTAACCCCTACGTGAATCATCCTGTCGTGGTGTCCTCAGTGTCCTATCCTGCCTTCTGTAATTACTGCGTCTGCCTCTTCTCTGTAACCTGGGACAACTGTCCTTCCAATGTCCCTCTTCCCTACAGAAAGCACACTGATCTCTTCCTAGGGGTTCACATCTCCGTCCATTACTGTTTTCCCGAAACCTTGGCCTGTGCTCTCTTTGTACAAAAACTGTCGCAGGAATCTGTTATAGGACAGGGAGAGGGGCAGCCCAAACCCCGCAAACCTGCCTATTCTAAATGGGTTCTGCCATCCGCCGCATCAACACAAAACATATGACACTTTAATGGGAAGGAACTTTAATAAAACTAGGAAACAATACAGGTAAGGCAAAGAGTCTAGTTTCTAAATGAAGCACCCAAAGTTACCCATCCCCTCGTGGGTAAAACTCCATCCATATGGGGTCGGCCCAGAGCAAGGCCCCAAAGCCTGCCACAAGTCTAAAACATCTTCCAGTGGGGACCCACAGAAAAGGGTCACAAACAACCGGACAAGCCCGGAAGGAAAAGAGCAAAATCAACATCCAAATAAAAGCTGCCATTGTCACCTCCCCATGGGTCTCACCCACATCTGTGTCACCCAGTCCACGACCAAAAGACAAGCGCAGTTTCTTCACATGTCTCTAGGCTCCATGCGCCTCCTTCAGGTCTCCTGGCTCCATCCTGCTTCCTTCCTCAGTCTCTTCTTCTGCTTCTCCTCTTGCTGCTCAGCTCCACCCTCCCTTGGGTGGGGCAGGGAACCTCCCCCTTTCCTGGGGACCACCCTGTTGCATAAGCACGCGGGTCTAGGCCATAGGTGCAGGGGGTGAGAGGATGCACCAGAGTGGGAAGAACAGGAGGACCCACTGAAATCACTGCTGAGGGGAGCAGTAGGGAGACAGGAGAGGTCTGCTGCACTGTGTGGGTAGCTCCTGGCCGAGAATCGAACTCATGCTGCAGTGGCTGTGGGTTAGCGTCACAGTGCTGAGACTTAGCCCTGCGCCCCCAGGGAGGCCCCAAAGAATTTTTCTTTTTTAAAATTATTTTTTTCTTTGACTTATAACCCCTGCCCTCAGCATCATCCCTTCTGCCCTTTTGACCCTTTCTCCCCTGCCCCCTTCGGAAACCTCACTTTGTTATTAATGTGAATTTTTCTAATTATTTTTTGAGGGTTTTTTTTTTTTTTTGCATCAGGGAAATGATGTTTACTTAGTAGAAGTAAAGTTGTCACTTCAGGGTAAATCCTGTGCTAGCTCCATATTGAAGTTTATGAAAATTAGAAAATAAAAATGAGTATTTAATTACATGCATGTTGAGAACAAAATTGAAATTCATTCCTTGGAATAAGCTCGTCACAGGAAGATAAATATCTTTGGGAGAGGAGTGTTCTATATTACTTTGCTTTGCTTTGCCAAATTCACTTTGCGAGGTTCCCTCTGGACCACGGGCATTGCTGTTTACTCCCTGGGTCTGTTTTTTAAGGAGGGTTAAAAAAAAAAAACCCTGATAGAGGGCCTCTCTGGTGGCACAGGCGGTTGAGCGCCACGCCGTGAAGCTCTTCGCAGCCTCTTCGCAGCCTCTGCAGCACAGGCTCAATCCCCACTGGGCACAGCAGACCTCTCCTGTCTCCCCACTGCCCCCCTCAGCAGTGAATTTCGTCAGTCTGCCTGTTCTGTTCCCCGCTCTATCTCTGGTTTAGTCTATCACCCTCCTGCACATCTGGCCTGTACACCAGTTCTTGTATGCATAAATAAATTTTTTTAAATAAACCCTGGAAAAAAAAAAACAAACCACCCTGACAGAACCTGATGGAGGCAGGGAGGGGGAAGGAGAGAGGGACTTTTGGGGTGAGAGCTGGGCAGGCCCGCAGGTTTGGCAGCACACTGTGTGCTGGATCTGTGGGGAGGGGTGTGACGCGGTGGGCAGGGCATCAGCGGCACAGCTTAGGAGTCCTGGGAGCCTTCCCGCCCTAGGTCCCAGGTCCCCCTGGAGATGCTTCTGGTGCAGTGACACCCCTGGAGACACGCAGCACCCTAGGGAACTGTGCCCACGACAGGGTCGGGCCATCACCACAAGGCCCACCCTGCACACTGAGTCAGCTGTGCAGAAAGCAAAAGCACCCATTTTGGGGTGAATGCAGGGGCCTCTGTGGGCCACAAGCTCCTGCCAGTGTGGACAGTGGTCCGCCCAGCTCAAGGACTCAGACCGGCCTGCAGACGGTGGGTTGACCAGCTCAGGCAGTTCCTGCCGCGTCACCACATCTGCAGCCCATTCCCCAAACCAACCCCGCCCCCTGGACCAGGCTCCCCTCCAGAGACCTCCTGCCCAAGAGCCAGCTCAGGCCACATCTGAGAGGTGGCAGGACCTGCAGGGCTGGAAGCCAACCCGAGGGCAAAAGTCTCTCAGGGCCTTTAGAATACGTGTGCATGCACATGTGTATATACGTACGTCTTGTGCGTATTCATGCATTTAAAAATTTTTATTGTCTGTGTATCTGTCCTTGCGTGTGTTTGCACCTCTGGGTGTGCATGTGTGTCGGTGTGTCCCTCTGCGTCTGTCTGTCTGGCAGGTCAGGAGGAAGGGGGCAGTGCAGGAAGGACAGCCCTCGTCACCTGAGCAGATGGGCTCAGGGATGGCGCCGCAGCAGCCTGGTGCTGGCAGGCAGGTGGCTGTGTCTGTGTCTGTGCTGGGGCAGCTCTATCTGCAGCTCTATCTGGCCAATGACCTGTGCGGCTACTTTATTTCAAGCCTAACTTGGACAGACAGGCCCAGCGGGCATGAATTTCTCAAGCAGATGCTGTTAGGGAGCACAGTCATCCAACTTTGGGACGGCAAGGACAGACGACACCCAGGGAGCCACCAGCCAGCCCGCCGCTCGCCCTGGGGACCCAGCCTCCGGGAAGTGGCACAGAGACTGAGCGAGCATCCAATTAGCTCGCCAGGCTGGAAAAGAGGCAAAGCTTTCCTCCTCCCCACGGAGAGGAAAGCTGAAAAGCTTGAGGCGCTGTTCCAGGCTGCCTGATAAACTCCTGTAGCAGCCAGGATGGCCAGGCCTCCAGGCCTCCGGACCCTTCCCTCCTCTTTGCCTCCCTTTGACCTTTCTTGTAAGGGAAAGATGAGCTTTGCGAGCCGAGATAACAGCGGGAATCAGTCTCCAGCAGCAGGGGGAATGAAGGCAGAGTCTGCAGGGATGTGGCTCCAACAAGAAAAACATCGGTGCAAATCACATCCCGTCTCCTTCCTGCTGGGCTGGCGTCAGCATTAACCTGCCCGCGCGGCGAACCCAGCCAAGGCCCAGAGCCATAGGAGAGGGAATCCTCACTCTACCACTAAAGTGTGTCAAACTTCCTCTAAGCTTTACAGCTTTACAGATCTGCTAAGGCCTGCAAGCTTGCCACAGGTCAGAGGGACCTATGGAGGGGAGCAGCAAGAAA